CTGTTTATAGTTTTCGTTTTCCAAATTCCTATAATTTATATTTTATGTCTTCCAAATTTATATTACGATCTCATAGAGTAAAATGATCAATGTTTTCCAATGGAATTTCTTACCCAACTAATGCAATTAGGGACCAATATAATATTAACATCTTACTTTCCAAAAACTTGGTTTTTGATAAATTAGTTTTTCTTTTGTGATTTCTGTATTTGAATTGTTCGTGATAATTTTATTTGTTGATTTTTTGACACAAAAACAAATTATAAGGAATAAAAAAACGAATTTATACATTATTTAATGCGTATTTGAGAACCAAATAGATACTAGTTGAAATCTTGAAACTATTAAAAATTTACAAACTAAAGTCCAATGTCAAAGCTGTGTTTCGAAACCGTTAAATAGTATGTAAAAAAAAATTATTTTTTTATATGTAAAAGTCCCCAATTAAATTGTTTTACAGATCCTAATCGGCTTACTAACATAAATAGTACCTACAATTTGACTAGTATTTTTGATGTTATATTACAAGCTAGTTGAAATTTTGCATTGATAATTGTTGCTTTACTAATGAAAACACAAATTGCAAACAGATGTTTTTTTTTTTTTAAAAATTATTCAACTTAATTGTACAGACAGTCTTATACACAAATTACTGTGTATATAAATAACAAATGTTCTGGTTATTTAGATCGTTTATTTGCTGAAAATATTTGCAGTAAAAATTGCAATAAAAATTTACCAAAAGAAAACATGGATATAGGAAGACCATAGAAAGGATTAGTTTGATGCATTTAAGAATGTTATGAAAACAGTAGGTGTATGTGAGAACGATGCAAAGGATCGGCTGGAGTGGAATTTAGGATTAGGGTAGTTGACGATAAATAGTTGGAATGAAGGTGAAGGAAAAGAAGGAGAAGAAGAAGATTACTGAAATTGTTTAAAATACAATTTATTTGTTTACATTGTGTTTTCTAAAGAAACACATACAAACATAAAAAAAACTAAAGATGGCCGACGATTGTAAAAAAACGATTAAGAAATTTTTCCCTCAATTTTTTTTTGGAATAAATATTTATTTAAGGAATTCTTGATTTAAACTTGGAATTTCGAGAACTATTTATATCAAATTGAAGGGTATAAGCATAAATTATACATCAATTTTTAATATTGGTGTATTATACCACTTAACATTTGAACATCCGTAGTTGGGAACTAACGTGTTTTTTTCTTATGTAGTGAATCCTATATCATTTAATACCAGTAATGCGGCTTGTCTCAGGGAACAATTATGAATATAAGTTATATAAAAGTTTTATTCGAATAATCACTTTTCTATGGAAATTTATTTATATTTATAATTGTAAATAAATCCAAAGTAAAAATATAAAATATTTTTTTTTTTGATTATGTAGGTATTTCGAAATAGATTTATTCCGCTTATAAAAGTACAGTAAATATTTAAAAATATAACGATAAACCGCTGATATCTTTAAGCGGCCTAGTTTGCTTGAACTTGTATTCGGTTAAACTTACTAAAAAAATAAAGATATTATTTAAAATTGTTTATTGTGTTGACGAGTGTGAATTGTTGGGTGTTTGGAAAATATGGAAAATTTATGTAGTTTATTTATAAAAACAACATCAAAACATTTAAAAAAAAAAAAATTCTGAACGATTTTCGCTAATTCATATTATGAAAACCAGAATATTTACGAATTTCGTAAAAACGTAAGAAATAAACTCTTTAAGAAAAAAAAAACCGTAAATACGCATACTTTTTTTAACTCGAGTATGACTTCAGAAGAACCTTAAATTTGGTGAAATTTTCAATATTGTCCATTAATTTTATCTACACAGTTCATACCGAATAGAGGGTACACAAACAATATTTAAAATTAAAATGTCTGATAAAAACTAAAAAAAAATAACTGGAACATTTGATAATTTTAGCACTTCTAGAGAAAACAAGTATACCTTTTTCTTACAATATATCAATTCTTTATAAATATTATAAACTGCATTCCAGCGCGTTACTATGGCAAAAGGGGTTGACGAAAAACCGAAATAAACCGGAGAAGAACGCGAAAGACATATCACGTGAGGAAAACCGGAAATTTGCAAAAAAAAACGTTTTTAATATTTTTTATTTTGTTTTTCGTTGTAATACAGTTAAATATATTCGTAGCGACGAATATGGTGCTTATCATAAAAATATTCGTACTTAATTATTTAACTTTTTTTAATAAGGTTTAATCACTGGTTTTTTTATTATTGTAGTTACCATATTTTAAATTATTATTTATTTAATGTAAAAAATATAATATAATAGTACAATAAATAAAATAAAACAATTTGAAAATGGTAATAATCAGATATATTTGTTTTGAAAACAAAATTAAAATAAAATAGAATCTACTTTCACCTTATTTTCCATCGTACAATCGTTTGAATATATTTTTTTTTTGTGGTGGTTCAAACGGATAATAAATCCCATTTTTTTCAAAAACTAACGGTCTGCCTGCATATGCAAAAGTTTCAATCGAACACTCGTTTGTATCTCTATAAATTTTAAATAACCCGTTCTCCCCCCAGTATTTACCCCACGAATTAACACATAACCAGTACTTTACGTTATTTTCTTCACCCCAACCGATTACCTTAACACTATGTGGACCGTAGTATACGGTATCTGAAGATTTTCGGTAAATACCTAATAAGAAAATTAAATTTTGTAATAATATCAAAAAAAGAATATTTATTTCTAAAAGTTACCACATCCATAAAATGAAAGATCTTCCTGTACATAAATAAATACTTGAATTGGTCCATACAACAAAATATCCTTTTGCATATTTTCATAGCTGAGATAATATGCATCTTTAGCTGGAAAATCAAAATTCCGTAAAGAAAAATAATAATGATGTTAATAAAATAAATGGAAGATTGGAAAGGTTTTATAAATACAGTTATTTAATTAATAAATGAAAGTAAGGATAAACGAACAATGAAAAACGATTCTGTGCATATTTCATTTGTACATGTACATATTTTCTTTGTTGCATTATTAGGATTTTTTGTCGAAAATTGATTTTAGAACGCTTACAAAAAAAACATTAAAAATTTATTATATTTGGATCAATTGTATTTTTTTACTACGTACAGCGTGTAATGAGCTCGTGTTAAAAATGTTTGTCAAATAGTCCTTTTCGCATAGTACCAACCAAATAAAAACACTCGAAAACATAAAAAATAACTATATGTAACTAACATTCCCTATATTAATTTAGAAATGTTGCCACACCTAGAAAACAAAAATATAAGATTTCTTTCGAAATTTAAAGTTATTACGATTTTTTTTAATAAAATTAACCCTAGACTACTCGTTCTGTTTAATTTTGTGTATTACTAATAAAACTACATGGAAAGTCATTAAACGACCGATGCTCAGCAATAAGATTAAAAATTCATTAAAAACGATATCTATTTATTATTCCTACGATTTCCATACAAATGCACCAAATAATTAACTAAACTATACAAAAAATAAGAGAAAAAAAAACGTCCTATGATAATGAAGTCGGGTGCACCTATTGTTCTAGGTTATTTAATGTACAATTTTAACTAACGTTAAACAATTGCTAACGAAAAAAATAATTCTGCGCGGAGTTCAGTCGACAGTTGCTGCATTGTCAATAATATATATATCTTGAGAGAAATCTTGAGAAAATCTAAAAATGAATATTCAAAAGTACCCTCCCAGTAAGGTTTTCTGTCCAAAATCTGCTATAATTATAAGTTTGAACGAATATGCTGTTAAAAAAATTGTCCAAAAGAAATATAATAATAATAAACATCTATGTAAAACTATAAGTAAGAAAATAAGCAACAGAAAATATTAAAAAAAAAACTTTCTCATATCACTGCCGAAATAAGAGTCTCATTCCAAAAAAAAATGCTTTGCTCAAAAAAAGATACAGGATGAGGTTTAAGTCAAAAAATGGAGTAAATTTTAATTAAAAATAATAAAATTATTTAGACAGGATTCTTCATTGAAATTTCTTCCGATTTTTTGCTTATTTTCCATGAAAACTTTTTGAAAAATAAATATCGAAACTTTCTAAGCACCATCTAGAAAAGTAATTCGGCAAATACAACAAGACAAATTGTTTTGTCATGTTTTTTTATTGATTTGCTATTCAGGGATACAAGTTCTTACCGACAAAAGTAAAATAAAACGTCTTTCTAATAAAATATATATCTTGCTAAAACCTGAATCTCAAAGAGAAAAACGATACCCATTTTTTGATTATCATACAAGAATTACAAATTAGTGGATATATTAAGTAAATATGATATGGATAATATAATATTTTATTGCCTAACTAACCTAACCTTACCTTTCCAATGATCTTTTTCAAAATCAATTGACGGATTTCCGTAACAACCTTTGATACATTCGTGATTGGTTTTTTGTCGCCCTGCACATATATTTTTTCCCATGTCGTTGAAACAAGGCATTACTTTATACGGTTGACATCCCTATCGAAATTGTACGATTTAAAATTATCTATAATTTACTCAAGTATTTATGATTAGAATATCATAATAATTGTGAATTATTTAATTTACATCGGTTGTATTGTAATTTCCTCCCGTGACAACACCGTGATCTATTAAATGTTGCCAAGCAGTGAAATTACTACAGCCCAATATGCATCCACTTTCAATACAACCTTCACAGCAAAATGTCAACTGTTCAATTGATAGGTGTTTGTTAATTTGACCCTTTGTCGCTATACATAATCGATCTGAAAATACTGCAATAGTAGTAACCGCCTAGAGTTTTAAAACAATAGTGAATAGTTACACTAAGCCACATAAATATTGCTAAATAATGTTATAAATAATCACCCAGCAATTTCCGCACATTCCTTGATCTAAGATTTCTCCAATTATGGTACAATGACTCCACCGTTTTCTTGCATCGAATGATTTTGGGATATCGGCATCATTTACATAATTTAGATCTTTTTTTTTCTCTCTAGAATTGCTACGTTTTTTGTCAAATAAGAATTGAGGAGTATATTTAGGAGACAATAATTTCTGTACGTATTCGCTAAATGATTTCTTGGTGATTATATTAACCTAAATACATGTGCGTACAACATAATTCAACTGTAGATTCAATTGTAGGGATGTAGATAAGTTTAACTTATTCTTGTCACCAGAAGGTGTTAATTTATTATGACCTAATTTAAATTATTTAACCTCTTAAAAAAATGAACAAAAAGAGAAGGTGAGAAATCAAAAATGTTATTCTTGTCTTAAAATAAATATGAATCCAATGTGAACACATTTTGGATAGTGTATTAAGTTTTTTTTTTTTATGTCTAATGTGGGTAAAAAGCAGTTAAACGATTTTACATTAATTTTATATTTTGTTAAAAATTTTTTTGGAGCTAAATGATCTAAAAAACAAATTATAAAAAAGTAAATAATTCCCGAGATAATGAGTGTATCCACATACAAGTGAATCTCTTTGTATAATGTATATAGATATGATGCAAATTGTTTTTTATTTTAAAAACATTTGTGAAATTCAGTGTGAATTTAATTTTTTCACTGCTTACAAAATAATTTCTAAAATTGTTTAGAAATGTTTCTCATCATTATTGGACTCGTGTTTGATTTCAGTTTTAGTGATATAATTTTTAACACATTTTAGAAATATATAAAACAAAATATTTCGGCAAAGCCGTGTTTATTCCTTGAAAATTCTAATAAATTGAATTCAAATTATAATAATTTTCATGATAAGGACGAGTATATTATTACGTTATGATTATTCGACCAGCATAGTATTTCACATATTTAGAAAATTATACTATAGCGTTACCTTGCATGTTTGTTCAACTTGATTAATTTTCTTTCCGACATCTTTACGATAAAAGGTAATTTTTTTCATAAAACCCTAAAAAAAAAAATCAACGTGAATACTCACCAAAGGTTTATACTTCATCCGACAGAATTTATACACAAGATTGAAGAAGCGGGAAATTTCCGTCTTATTCATAAAAGCATATTCTCTTAGGCCTTGTAGATGTAATGCTATTTGAGTTGGGACGTAATATTTACCCAGCTTATATTTTTTATTATGGATAAATATACTGTATATAACTGTATTATTATATCCCAACGGTATATTTGATAATATTAATATTTTTGTTACAGTTAGAGTAGAATCTATGACAATATTTAGTAGAAAATATTTTATACAACAATGAATTATGTCGAATACAATAATCTTAATAATTTACATTTTATTTTGAATAGAGTATTCAATAATTATTTACAATCATTTTTCTTTCGATAATAATGATTTTATGGTTATAGAAGTTGTATCAATTTATGATAAGAGAATATACTTTAAGTGACACAATACCAAATGTACCATACTCAACGGACCAGCATTCGTGAACTTTTTTACTTAGCTGTTGTGGAGCTCGTGTTGTGCAGCGAAGAAGAGTGAAAAAAATATCTGTTCTTACAGTTCAATTGTAAGAAAAATATAGTGCGCTTACAGTACCAATGATTATTAGTTGATTTTCTACCGCAGAGTGTTCAGTTTTACAATTTAGTTCGTGAAACGGACTCTCACGGGTATGATCGTAATGGAGGGATAGAAAGGAAGTGGACTGAAAGTGGTTCCTTGTTAAAATACAGCCTATCGAGTATTCTGGCGTAGATATTTAGTTTTTTACGTTACAATACGATAAATATTTTGTTTGATAATATTTGTTTAATATTGTACTTGTTTTACTGTTTTTCCTACGTTTTTCTTGGATTTTCTAATTTGTTAGAAAAACTTCTGAGAAAATCAAAAATGACTTCATTTAGTATCTCCCCAGTCGGATTTGCTCTGAGAATAGTTGCTACACTTAAATATTGGAGAATGATTTCTGGTATAAAAGTTTTCCACAGAAGAAAAATAAACAATTTTGTAAAACTATAGGCTACTTTGTTCCACTCGTAATCTAAAAGAAGTACAAAACG